TCTTCGTTATGTTGACCCTCCTTTCCTGGATTCCAGATCGTAACTATAATTCACCACAGCCCGAGCTCGCTGACATTGTCTCTGGATTCAATATCTCCATCACTAAGGATCGCGATCTCAGGTTCTCGTATTCCGTACTGATAACGTAGCCACCAACGTAGATCGCGGATCCCACTCATGGATCAGATAGAATTGATTATCCCCCCGAATTCGATCTTTTGCAGTACTAATCGCAAACATGAGCCGCTCAGCGTACTCATCCCAGTCCTATTGGTTGACATCGGCGACATACACCTTGAGCGACCGCGACAGAGTTTGTACCATCCGTTCAGCCGTTCCATTTGCCTGTGGCCTGTATGCCATTGTATTACGTTGTCTCTGTTCCACGATCCGACTGAAAGCTCGGAAAAAGTTGGACACGAATCCGGGTTCTCTATCATGCATGATCGCCTCACTGGCGCCGAAACGCTGGAACACACATTCTTCGTAATTTTCTGCAATCGTTTGTGCTGTTCGTGACGAGCTAGCATTTGCGATCATATATCATGAAAAGAGATCCACCTAAACCAGCATCTCTGTGTTTCCTTTGAAGGACATGGACAATGATGATGTATGGTCCATAGCACTAACCTGGAATAAATAAGTTGCCTGTAGGTTATCCGGTGATCTTCCCTAGATCGTCAGACATCCCGTTACCTTTTCGCAATTGGCGCATTCGCCTGCATTTCGTTGCACACTCCTGTACAACCCTCTCCCAATAAATCTTGATCTGATCCTTTGATACGTCCTACTAAAACCTTGGTGGCCACTTTCCAGACTAGCGCGATAATGGTGCAGAAAGTCTTGTTGCAACGTATCACCAGAAGCATTATACCATCGCGATCTTCTGATTCTCTCTTCGCTATAGGGCAAAAAAAACAGGTCGCTCTGATCAATCTCATACGCTGGCGCAAATTTTGCATCTTTACTTCTCCTGCGTCTAGACCAAATACATCGCCATTCAGATACTTCTTCAGATTGACGATCCAGCATTCTTCGTCCTGAGCCGGACCGATTTTCCGAATGGTCATCTTCTGCACCCTCTACACCTGCCATACTTAATCCTGAGGGTGTCTCTTGCCGGCTGATCTTGTGATCGTGTTTATTCGTGCAATTGGGTCGTCTGGATTAGACACCAACAGTTCACTTAAATTATTTAACGTAGTCAGATCTCGCCGATCTTCTTCAGTTAGCACATTTATTTCTTTTTCATTCTGCAAGGCTGTGCTGGCTAGCCTATCCGAACTATGATTTCACTCTCGCTTCATATTTAGAAATTTGTGCTTCGACCATGATAGAAGTTTCTGCATTGCCTTGTGACGCAACAAGTGTAACACGGGCTCTTTACATTCCATCTCACCCCACATTTGCCGGATCACTAAGCTCGAGTCACCACATAGAATGACTTGTCCCCTATTCTGGCCATCTAGCAGATCGAAACCAGTAACATGCCGCGATATTAGGCTGAATTCACCGCCAGATCCGCTGCGTATTCTGAAGCGGCCGCACTCATCGTCCATTCTGGTAGTTTCTATACGATCGCACTATATGACCCACTCTTCCGTTTGGTTTGGGCCTATACGTCGAATCTAACAACCAAGAGGATTTCATCCGGTTCCACACTGGGGGTGGCATGGTAACCAATTGTTTAGGGTGTTTCTATGGAGTGATCGCAATCAACAAGTCATCTATTTATTCTAGAAGAGTTATGCTAGCTGCGAGTGCGCCGAGTATTTCATCTTCCACTTTTTCACATCTCCTGACCTCTAGCGTCCAATTCGATAGTAGCGCGGCCTATCTTCCTAGTCTCCCGTTAAGGCCCGACGATTAAACTGGCCAGGCTTATGTCGAATATCGAGTCAGCATTCTAATAGCTCGGGATACTAGCATAGTATAACACACCTCCAAATTCGAAGTAGGTAAATACTTCTTTCTTTACCATGTCATAGTTGATCTCGTTAGGCTTCAGTGTGCGACTCGTGAATGTCACCGGCCAATGTACGCCATCATAATTCTGCAACAGGGAGGCCGACACTGCCAACTTACTAGCATATATCACGATCACTGGCATTCGATCTGGACCGAAGTACTTTAGGATCGGGGTATCCGCAATCTTAGCCTTCAACAGGGTGAATGCGTTAGTGGCTTTGTCACCTAGATTGTTCTTTCAAATCAAGATCATCTCCTCGTAGGGTGCAATCGCAATCGCGATCTCTTATCATTGCGTCCCAATCCTTCAAATGACTAATCTCCAATAAATCCGCCTCTCGCAGCTCGTACATCAGCGATGCGTACACCGCAAAATCTTCTATGAAGCGACTACGATAGTTCAGGAAACCCAGAAATGATTGCATGGAACGCAACGTTGTCGGGAAAGGGATGTTGACTAGTGATCCTAGATCCTTGAAGTTTGCCTCCAACCCGGCCAAAGATACCTGATGAACTAGGTAGTCTTACGCCATCGCCAAAAACGTTTAGTCAAGCTGATCAGATTAAGTCCATCGATCGCATACCGTCAGTAACTTCTCAACCTGGTTGTGCAAGGAAGTCCATGACGTAAATGGGATCAAAACATTATCAATATAGGATCGTCTGCCTAGCACTGACGGTGTCCGATTATTTTCTGGTTCTCCTTCGGTGTCCGATCGGTTAACTGAGAGAAATCTGTTGTGTTCTGCAACGATCTTAAGGTACCCGTTTAGAGCGTTATCAATTAACCGCTGATAAATTTGGGTGCATTAACTAGTCCGGAAGGCATCCTTAATTATTCAAATAGACCTGACGGTGTGACAAACGCAGAAATAAACTTCGCTCGCTCGGTCAACTCTACTACCCAAAATCCACTCGATATGTCCAATGCACAGTACCACATTGCTTTGTCCATATCCTACAAGAATTTACTAATAAGCGGCATAGGGTAAGCTATGATCCGTTTTAGTGGTTCACTTGTTAATAGTTGATACATAGTCGGATATCTTCTACATTCTTCTCAACGATTACGACTACTGGTGATTCCCAAGGCGATGTCGAAGGTCGAGTAATCTTGGCCGAAAATAGACCTTTTATCGAATTGGCTTACTTCTCACGAAATTTTGGTGCAACAGGTAGTACGCGCTGCGCGATCGGTCTTGCCTCTACCACATCAACATCACAAACGGCCCCGCGCGCCGCGGGGGTAATGCGTTTCCTTTCTCTGTTAAAGATAAGGAATCTTCCATATTAATTGCCGCAAATCCTTTTGATCCTCTGTCAAGGGTTTCCAGGATCGCCAACCTGGATATCGTCTAAAGTTATCTCGGTCATGAATTTAGTTACCTCCGGCAGCATAGCCACATATTTCTTCACATCTTCTCAAATAGTTCGCCTCCTTCATGATAATATATTATTTTATCCGGTCTGTTACCTTTCGTTACTTCGTTGTCGATAATAATGGCTTCTGCGTCGCCGTCTAGTCGTGTGGACTGGCCATGCACTCCTTGATCTTCGACCTTAATCTCGTCCGGATGAAAGTTGGACTTTACTTGTAGCAGACCAGTTATCTCATGGTCGTCTTCCTATGTTTTCGCCTCCTCTGCAACCACGTCTCCTTCACCCGATTGTTCCGGCATCTTCCGCACTGCGTTGACCGCGCCCGACCTCGCCGTCGAATTTACATCCTTGTTTTCGTTGATCTTTCCACCCGTATACTCGTCCTACAAACCATCACTAGAGTTATCATCAAATTCAGACAGCGAAGCGATCTACACAGAATCCTTAACGTCGTCTGATTCCCGGTTTGGTCGTGTTAAGATTCATGTAGGTTTCTCATACTTAGGATAATCCACTAACGAGCCCGTGTATGATTCAACTTCTTCTTCCTCTCGATCCGCAGTGGCTATAAAGACCAACGTCTGCCATTCCATATACCGCCGCGATCCTACAGATACGTATTCTTGAGATCGCGGTGTCATGTCTTCTATCATCCACAACGCTATAGGGGCCTCGTAATTTAAGATCAGGTCGTGATCACTTATTCTCGTAAGATCTAGTACTTAATCCTTCCGAGCCCATTCGTTACGGTAGGAGTCCACGCTACATCTCGTCTCACCCATAGCTTAGACTTGGGAGAATTGACGCCGATCCTGAATTCTGTAGATTTACCGGTGGGTATCGCAATATGTTGATCGTGCCGTACAGTGTAATCTTGATCGTGGTCTGACCCATCGTTATTTAGGCACTCTCCCCAATCCCAGCACATTCTTGCGTTCGGTTTTTGTCGATCACACATTCTACCTAACGAGCAAAGGTTGTGTCGATGATCGAGATTTCTGCTCCATAATCAAACAGCATAGTGGCCTTCTCAGTGTTGATGTTGCCCCCTGATTTCACCTCTTTGAACTATTTTTTCGAAATATGATACTTCCAGTACCCCCTTGACTTTCCTAAGGCAAGATCGAGCTCCATCTTCACAGGATATCGTGCATAACCGTCTACTCGATTCACACTTGATATAGAAGAAACGAATGGTGAACGATCACATATATTAGTGATGAGATCACGCCGATCCTTAGCTTCTTGATCCTTCCACCGTTCGTCAACAAATGCATGTATGCAAAGCTAAGAAAGCTCGGCTCGTGCCAGATTCCAACCCGATGAGCGTCCTAGTTTAACATCTCCTCCACCTTGGGGAGAAACATCCCCGACGGTGTTTGGTAGGCACATACCACTTGCGGATCAAGTTAATAATTTTTTTATGGGGCACTTGCCAATCCTGCACCTCTCCGCGAGCTGCACCTACATCGAAGCACTTGTTAGATGGATGTCCTTTGCGGTCACATTTGGGACTTCAGTCTCTGCCAACATCCCCGATCGTCGTGTCTGGTAGGTACACAATGGTTGCACGCCTTTGCAGTTCCATTTCGATCACATCCATCTCTTTCACCAATGTTATTATGCCAAGTGTGATGATCCTTGTCCGATTTTTATTGATCAGGCGTAGTATTCGCAGAGACTCGGCAACCATACTTGCCGACATCGGATCCAATTGAGTCCGACTCGCTTCGCTGCTTTCGACTCTCTCGCGGTCCGCCCTCACTGCCCGGGTTGTCTTGGATGACATTTGATTGGGAGGCACCTTCGTCCGCTAATGGAATCTGTTCGATCCCGTCAACGCTTTCACCTGACGACTCCATCCGTTGGCATGCAAGGAGAGTTTCTTCTATTTCATTAATGTCCTTCAATCGCAATTGAGTTATCTGTTTCGCTAGATCGAGATCATCGAGCATAGCGATGAAAAATTCCTCTTGTTTGCGACGCGTGGCCGCGGTATAAACATTCTCTTTTTTAATCGCAATCTTAGCGTGCTTGGCTGCGACATTGAGACGATGCAGATACTCCATCGGTTTTTATCCGGCCGCTTCCGCGCGAGATAACATTGTCTGGCCAGAGACTCACCTTGCCCTCCATAATGGATCATTAGACAATTTTGCAATCGCTTCCATTTGTACCGGGTAAGTCGGCTCAGATTTGTACCAATTCGCGCAGGTCTCGTCAACATATCGCCGAACGCCAAACATCATTCTCCATCAGGAGCCTGATCGTGCAGGAACGCCGACTCAAGTTTGCTGATCCAGCTTCTAGCTCGATCTTCGTCTCAATCTTTGCCACTATATTCCTTCATCTCTGTCATTGCCGACACTCGAATGCGCGGGGGATTTGTACCACCTTTCTTCTGCATCTCTGTGGCAGCCACAATTGCACGCCGACCCTCCTTTTGCACTGAGTCGTCGGGATAACCGTCGTCAGGGTCAAAGAACTCCGATCGACTGATGTGCAATCGCACCGATACCATCTCCACACCTGGGGTGAATGTTTCTCGAACTATTTCAGGCTTGATCCGTTGGATCGGGTAGATCGCTTAATAAACCAGTTCCCGCTGATCTTAATGAAAATGTTTCATGGACTCATCGATGTATGTCTGCAGGTTTCCTTTCTTAGTTGACGTTATTTGTCCATCAGCGCAAGTAATTATCGATCGCGGTTTGATCTTGATCGGTCTCATCTGATAGCGAAGATGTGCTACTCTACTTGAACCTAAAGACACCCGCTGAATACTGACCGAATCTTCAACTCCATCTCGGATTCTGCCGAGGCGTAATGCGACGATCCATTATGACACACTCTCGGGGCATCGGCGATCTTAGCAACAGCTTGATCCGTGGATTCACCTTTACCCGTCAGGGGAACCAACTTGTTCTATAGCGATCGACACGCGTGGATCAACTTATCTTGTCCGCACTTCAGCAGTTTGTCCGCATCTAACATCCCAGCTACGTATCCCACATCCTGTTGTAGCTGGATGGTCACTTTTTATCCTTTCGAGCGGGTTAGTTGCCGCCTCCGGTAGAGATGTTAGACCTTCAATTTCTTAAGTAGCTTGGGCTTAATATCTTCATCACAGGGTCGCCCGATAGCAGATTCTTAGGCTCCTTCCAGTGGCATCCCTGCGCCAATTGATGCAGCTGCCAGCCTTCCACCTTCATATCCATAGCATCTTCCGCAAACTCAATCGGTTTGTCGATCGGTTTCGCACTGCGATCGTGTTTATCCGATCCAAACGCTTCTTTCTTCACTCGATATGCCCTCACAATCTTCTTCTTGTATATTTCCTGAGTGGTCTTGTGTAGTTTTTTTTACAATTTTCGCTGAAGGGTTTTTACCCAGCAGATCGTACCTTGCATCATGATCTATGGTGGTCCCCGAAGGAACCTCGGAGGGGTTCGAGGTTATCCTTCTAGATCGAAATTTGGATCTTCTTCTTTCATTTTCTTGTTATCCGAGCCCTTATTAAAACTCTGATAATCTGGGGATCCTTCTAATTCACGCGTCTGCGGCAATCCCTTTGCCTTTGGCGTTTTCATTTTAGTTCAGTCTTAAATTTACCTTCTTCACTTCGGGACCCACGGTACAATCCCGAGTCAGTAGAAGATCCGGGCACGCCACCGTTGTGGTGGAGTGGTGATCGCTTCTTTTTCGAAACGATCTTGACTCTACACTGGCGCCCAGACGACCGACTGATGGAGGGGGTACTCCGATTCCGTGTATATTTCTTTCCTCACCTTGTACCCGCCGGAAGGGCGGGTTGCACTCTTCCAGGTGGACTCGTGTCGAGGGAAAACTTGAACGTGCTGGAGATGGGTTCGTGTGATCGGGCAAAAATCTTGGCGCGATCACTGGCGTATCAATGGGGGTACTTAAATAAGTTACCCTGATCTCAACGAGATCGCGCTGCCCATTGTGTGGATTCTTGATACGCGAGTTTTTTGACCGCTTGAGCCGTCTCGCGATCTTGTTCCTTTCCTTTACGTGTCTTGCTGCGTCCGATCGCAGTTGAAGTTGTCGGATAATTCTTGATCAGACCTGGCCAAATAATTCAGTTGCGGCACTTTTATGGATGGGTAACGCGACTCTTTATCGCCAGGAGGCCAAAGATCAGGCCCGAAAGAGATTTCGTGCGTCTTTCGAAGTAAATTGAATTCTCTTTGATGCTAACAAATCAACCTAAAGCCTAATGCCTTACGTGTACACTAACCGGATGCCACGCGTCCCTATTTCAAGAAGGTCGTCCTCTCGTATTGGTGTGGTACGCATCATGTGTATCGACAGCCGAATCTTATTGTGGTCCACCCGACATATCGACACCACTTTACCTCGTGATCCCAGGTCCGGATCGTGATCTTGAGTCCGGATCGTGTTCCTAGTTCCAGATCTAGATCTTAGTTTCGAATCGAGATCTTAAGTCAGGATCATGATCCAAAGCTAGGTTCGTGATCTCTAGTTGAGTGATCTCGAATCTTCCCTTGCCCTGTCTCACGATGAATCACGCAATCAAGCTGGTCGAACTGGCATCTAGCCTTATCCCAAGTGACAAGATCCAGCTTACTATAGTTAGGTGCGCTATTGCAAGCCACCCGTCCCAGGTTGTGTCCACCAATCATAACGCTTCGGACCGAGCTGAAATGTGCGATCAGCCCGATCCCCCACTCTAACTTAACGGTAAATTTACTTGTGACCGCTTTGTCACAGTCCTATGTTCGGTAAAGGATACACGTTGTAACTACGGTCAGGATCTTTGGCCTCATGAAGAAAAAAGAGCCGCGTCAAGCCTACTTAAGAGTCTCACCTGGGTCGTTTGGCTAGGTGAGTTTTAGACTTCTCAAGACATTCATTCAAATGCAATTATGCGCAGCAAAAAAAGCAATTGCAAGAGGTACAAGATCACGCTTTACCTCAAGTGGTCAGACGGGCCGCAGGATTAAGATCACGATTTACCTTAAATGGTCAGACGGGTCGCAGGATCAATAATATCACCGTAGGGTGAGACTATGTGTAAATTATGAAGCAACTCATACCGAGAACTACCCTAACCCAGCACGATTTTGTAAAGATACCCGCACAATCACTAATTCTATCCCAACCGTCAAACTTTCCATCGACACGGTATCACCCAGAAGTGTGCAGCTTGCTCTACCGACAGTACTTCAGATAAGAAAGGAAGTACACAGCACGGAAATGGATTACCTTATTAGACAGTCTATAGTCTGGGCACCAGTGGAGAATCAAAGAATGCCTCTAAAATTAGCATATCTCACGCCGCCAAAATAGAGCTGCACATTTAGTAGTCAGAGATAATCTCACGTCTCTCGAAGTCATATACTTCTAGAGAGTTAGTAAATATAAATTTAAAAGATCTAGGCGATTTTCAAAGTGATCAACATAGACGCATGTGGTCTACAAGCTTGTGCAGCTTCTAGTCCTGATAGATGGGATTTTAAGTAATTAAAGGATCTTATAATACTTATAAAAATACCAAAAAAACTAAAATCAATTTATTTTTTAGCAAAAAAGAATATAAAATCGGGAAAAACTTCTTTATTCCAAAAGAGATAATATTCTATGACTAAAAATTCACTAAAATACACTTCAGGTTACAAATTGAGAAATTTAAAAGCAAATGTTTGATTCTATCTAGTAAATACATTACTGCCAATTTATAATATACGACCATCAGTTCAACAAAACATAACAGATATTTTTTAAAACAGTAGTCAACAAAGCTCCTTAAAACAACAAGATTGAGCTCCTATAAATTCGAAACTTTATTGTAATGTCTTAGGTTTTTTTAGGATAAACTGCCCATTCGTTTTTTTTAAATAACTAGGGAATTGCTAAAATCACCCCTATCCTTAGATTCACACCCTTCCTTCAAAATTCTATGTATAAAATCCCTATTAATTTTATGATTTGTTTTCTGAAAAAGGCATTACTCGATAATCTAGGCCATTATTTGGCAAGGATAAGTAAAAAATACCTAATATACTTCTTACGCCTGTGGTCACAGTAACTACAGGCGTGAGTATTCTCAGCCAACCGTCAATTACATTATCGAATTTGCACAGCAACAGCTAGAGAGACGCCTGATGTATTGAAAATGTGCACGCCAAAGCCGATGTGATGACTCTGCTATCGTAAAACTTATGAATGACTACGATAAAATGAGCATGGAGACTTCAAATAAGTGAACGAGCATACCGTTTTCGTACTCGTCCGCGTCCTTTAACTTCTCGCACTTCGTTCGTACGCCCATTACTACTACTTCCAGCACGTCACCCATCTTTCCACAGCCGTGGGCACCACCGTTACCTGAAGCATCTCTGTCTGCACCAAGCCTTACGACACCTAACTTCAATCGCTGCCGCAATACCAACTCGGTGTGTTAGACGATTGCACTGGGGGCGCAGCATTGTTGCGTTAGTGAGATGTGAATAATTTTGAGGGATAGTGTAGCACATCTCGGGCGTTAATGCTGAGTTGAGATGCGTTTAGCACCACACCGTTAGCACAGCCGACGTTACAGTCAAACCCTTTATCGGCACCTCCACTCACGTTGTTAGGTAGCCGATCATTCTGCCATTTCCCTCGTTTCTCGTCGTTTTTTTACTCCAACATCTTGCATCGACCGCCGGATAGCTTCCAAGAGCATTAGTTCCTCTAGCCGCGCAACGTCTGCGGGTGTTGTCGCAACGCGGGACGCTGCATCATTCAGCGCTGCGACACGATTCGGGTGTGGACTGTTGGTCACAGGCTTGTCGCTGATGCTAAGATGCAAGCAACGCGAATCGCGAATCCGATCTCGGTCTTCCACTGACGCGTACTGCACACTCTGCAGACTTGACGTCATAGTGCACTCTTTTTCTGTAGCTTTGGGGATACCAATGGCGCTACTTCGACGCGGAGACGTTCCGTTCTACAATGTATTACAGAACATGAGGCTTAGCAAATAATCGCACAGAGAAAGAAGAGAATCAGGGGCTGCGCGTACTGTCACGGAATGGGTCGAGGTGAGCTCTGTCGGTGTCAGTGGCGTGTACAGGACAGTGAACCCTTCATGGTTGCACAATGGACAGCTACAGACAGTCCACACAAAAGACAGGTGAGTCAGAATCCATCAATCTCGAGTTTCTGGACAGCAAACTGTCGTCACGCACGAAATCATTCTGCGTGGCGGCCGAATCTGAAGATAGCACTGGGTGTAACGGGGCACCCTGAAGCTTGATTGATGACAGTACAAGCTACTTATTCTGATGACAGAATAATGCGGTGCCGCGTAACTTCACGTACACTGATACGTGCAGAGGAAGACGGTAAGGAGAAGCGAGTACTTGGTTGAAGTGAAAAGTAGAGCAGTATCTATCATAGTTAATGTCTGTAATAAACCACTGCTTATCCTCATCCAACTATGTTTGAATACAAATGTGTATACCAACTATCTGCTCACCACTCATTGCGTGCGTCTGTCGTGGCGCGTCTTCGTTGGTTGCTATAATGGCCTATATCAACCAATTAGGAACTACTCGTAAGTGCTGCAGAATATTTGTCCTTATGACAATATTCTGAGAACATAACTCTTACAGTTATATTCTATTAACAATTTCTTATAAATTGTTATGTAACGATTCACCCCGTTACATCACCCCCCCCTTAACCACCATTCACTTTAGTGACTGATTGACTAAATGGATACTCGTCCCAAACCATTTGGGACAGGGTTTGCACTCGTTGGTCCGAGTCCACTTCCCAACAGTTCATCGAATGGTTAACAAGCACATGCGATGCGCGAACAAGGCCGCCGAGAGCGCGTCTGCACGTCTCCGTACAAACGCCGAAGTAGAAACCGCTGCAACCGATGTCTCATCGGTTGCTAAAGCGTCTCAGTCTGTGTCACTTGGTGATGCAGGCGCTGGTCATGAAGACACTCACGTCTTCACAGAGTATGAGCTCGGTGTCTCATACTCTCCTGATACGGAAGACGGATCCGTATCGACGGCGATCGAATCCAAGCCGCCTGCCAAGCGTGGCATGGATGATGCTATGTCTCTTAGCATCTTTGGTTTATCTGATGAATCAAATGAACCATCGCCAAAGCGAAGGCGCTCGAGGTCGCGAGACTCGGGCGCTCACAGTGGTGTCGCTTTTCCTATGGACACCACTTCGCAACGAGGTACCAGTACTTCTGTCGGCACGTCGCAGGAAGAGCTGAACCGCAGTGTCTTGCGTCTCGCTCCTGAAAAGAAGGCATGGATGCCTCCAAAGTCAGTCATGGATCGCTTTTCGGCGACGACGAGTGATCGTTATCGAACACGATTGTTCGATTCGTCAAGGATCCATCCCCTTGACCCCAGTGCGAAAAACTATCGCGCTGATAATGAATTCTTCATCGATGCTTTCTTTAGACATCGATGGTACAGTGGGAATCACAAGCGTGATGGTCCCTCACTGCTCCAAGCGTGGAACGCCCACATCCATAACCTTGAGGATGTAGGTCGTGACGCTTGGAACGACAAACTTATCAAAGCTCGTGATCGGTTTGAAAAGCGAACCCCGACAGGTGCACGCTACAAGCTGCATCGTCTGTCAAGGGAGAAAGGATTACCCTGTCTCTCCTGGCCAGACCCGTGCCCATGTTGTGTGAACAACTCTGCACGAGCACCTAAGGAGGCTTACCTCCTTACTAGCACGTGGTGGCGCGTACGTATCTCTACTGAGATGTACGAAGCGGTTGACAACCTGAAATCCCTTTACGACCGTGCCGGGAAGACTTTCTCCGGCGTTCCTTCTGCGGCACAGGATGTGCCGCGTCGTACTGCTCAACCAGACCCAGTACGTCAGCCATCAGTTGGGAGCGGGGCTCCCAAGAATCCCAGGACGGGGGATAGCCGCGCCACCGGACGAGATAACTCGTCCGACGTCCGTTCACGTCGCGGTGGTTCAACAGCTGCTCAACTAGATAGCGCTGGCCACCGCGAGAGTCCTCTAATGGAGGTGGAGGAGGAGGAAAGACGCTCTCCACACGATCGTGGGGATCAATGTGTCTCCGAGAGCTTCTTTGATCGCGTGACGCAAGGGTTACGCAACGATCTCGAACATGAGCGGAACAGACGTCTCCAACTGGCGGACACTGTCTTGAAGCACCGAGCTGAGTTTGCCTTTGCTCAGCTTGAGAACGAGAGAGCTCTGACATCTCTTCGTGACGAGCTAAGGGTAACTCGTGTGATTGATGATCGGTCTCGGGGCAGTCCAGTGTTAGCCGGTGTAGATGACCGCAGTTGGGGCAAAAGAGACTCGTCTTCAGGTTTCACGTCCTCCGTTTCAACATCCGGAACAGGTTCCTTGGCAGGTTCCATGGGTTCATCCATAATCGGCTGACCTTCCTCACGCGTAAGAATGGTCCCGTCCTCACGCTTCTTAGTTGTTTAAGTTGACCTTTTCAAGATGCTATGACTTCGTATCATGTACACCGCCCACATCACGCTCGTCCAGCTTGACCGACCTTGACGTCTTGACCTTGGCATCCTTCAAGTCAAATTAATGTAACCCCTTAACGTTCTCAGCATAATCGAGAAGAATACAGCAAAAAACCCTTGACTCGATCTTCGTTCTCTTTGCATCGTCAATGTGGGCGTAACCCTGCGTCGTGAACACGCGCGAGTGTTTTAGATAAGACTTTACCTGGAAATTCGACTCGTACGATGTCAAGTCCGCGTGTACCGTGTTGCTGGAACGTTTGATGAGATGCACTGATAAACGTACAGAATTGACCCACAATTTTGTCGACACGCCCTTGTAGGGTAACATGCTCCGTCTTATCCCCATGATAGTACGATTTATACGCACCGCCACTCCATTCTAATGAGGGCTTTACAGAACGGTTCGTTTGGTGCACGACATCGTACCGGCGGCACATCTCATCTACTATCTTGTTCAAGAACTCTACTCCATTGTCTGATCGCAGACACTCCAACGTTATCCCCATTGGTTGTCGTAGAACGCCTAAAACTCCTTCAGTTTGCCGACCACCTCACTCTTCTTCTTCAGAAAGTACGCTACTACATACATTAAGTAGTCGTCCACGAGTGTCAGCACATGCTTTGCGCCACCTTTTGAGAGCGTTATCATCGGTTCCATTACATCCGTGTGGACAAGTTCCAACACATGCGATGCCTTCGTCACATACCGTAACGGAAACGACGTAACGGTATGGTTGTCTTTCATGCAGCCACCACCCAGTTTCTCGATACCTCGTTTTACCGCAGGTATGTCGTTCGTGGAACGCTGGGTCTTGATCAGTGTATCCTATTTGGGTGTTCTGTAAGAGCGTGCCACAGCTCCCACTTACTGTAGGCTCCTGAGAATCCCACAAACCGTGCTTCCTCTTGCTGAAAGTCGAGCAGGATAGCCTTGCCCACCTCATTCCCCAGAGCAATTGCGCTGCTTGCGCCCCGGATTAAGCACAAGAAACATCGAAAATCAACACTCAAGCCACACTCAGCTAGTCTCCCAGCCGACAAGAGGCGTCTTTCGAGTCTTGGGGTGTACGAGACGTCCATCAACTTGACGCGTCTGTCGTCGAGACCCTTCAACTCGACCGTTCCTCTTCTATAAACGCATAACTTCTTGCAATCCGCAATAGTCACCTCGACGCCAGCGTTCAAGGTAACGTACTTAAATAGGTCAGAACGATGCGGGGTTATTTGCGCTGTAGCACCACAGTCGACCAATCAGCCGTTCCAGCGTTCCTTGCCGACGGCAAACACAGCATCGTTACCACTGCCGCCTCTCTGACTCGTACAGTCCCGCTTCATGTGACCGGCTTGGTCACATCCGAAGCACTTGCCCTTGAAATCACCACCCTTTACATGTGGTACGTCCACCTATCGACTGTGTCCTCGGCCTAGTTTAAACCTCTCAGCGTTCCCGGCACGAAACGCTTTCTCCATGCACATTGACGACGTGGTGAAACGCTTCGTCGAAGAGAATGCTAAGCCTGCCGACAAACCATGTGCATCTGGGCTCAGATTGTCGAACTAGCTGTCACCACGAACGTAACCAGAGCGGGACGCAGTGCGATTAAAAAAAATCGTTTTCTGCTCGTGTGCCTACTGTACATTACGACATGTGCTCGTCCGGACATTGCGTTCGTGGTCACTCAGCTCTCGCGTTTTGACGAGAACCCCGGACAGCAACACTAGAACGCTGCAGTGTGCGTACTATGTAACGGGGCACCCTGAAGCTTGTACTGGTGACAGTACAAGCTACTTATTCTGATGACAGAATAAGGCGGTGCCTCGTAACTTCACATACACTCGTACGTGCAGAGGAAGACGGTAAGGAGAAGCGAGTACTTGGTTGAAGTAAAAAGTAGAACTGTATTTATCATAGTTAATGTCTGCAATAAACCACTGTTTATCTTCATCTAACTATGTCTAAATACAAATGTGTATACCAACTATCTGCTCACCACTTATTGCGTGCGTCTGTCGTGGCGCGTCTTCGTTGGTTGATATAATGGCCTATATCAACCAATTAGGGACTACTTGGAAGTGCTACAGAATATTTGTCCTTATGAAAATATTCTGAGAACATAACTCTTATAGTTATATTCTATTAACAATTTCTTATAAATTGTTATGTAACGATTCACCCCGTTACATCACCCCCCCCTTAACCACCATTCACTTTAGTGACTGATTGACTAAATGGATACTCGTCCCAAACCATTTGGGACAGGGTTTGCACTCGTTGGTCCGAGTCCACTTCCCAACAGTTCATCGAATGGTTAACAAGCACATGCGATGCGCGAACAAGGCCGCCGAGAGCGCGTCTGCACGTCTCCGTACAAACGCCGAAGTAGAAACCGCTGCAACCGATGTCTCATCGGTTGCTAAAGCGTCTCAGTCTGTGTCACTTGGTGATGCAGGCGCTGGTCATGAAGACACTCACGTCTTCACAGAGTATGAGCTCGGTGTCTCATACTCTCCTGATACGGAAGACGGATCCGTATCGACGGCGATCGAATCCAAGCCGCCTGCCAAGCGTGGCATGGATGATGCTATGTCGTCTTAGCATCTTTGGTTTATCTGATGAATCAAATGAACCATCGCCAAAGCGAAGGCGCTCGAGGTCGCGAGACTCGGGCGCTCACAGTGGTGTCGCTTTTCCTATGGACACCACTTCGCAACGAGGTACCAGTACTTCTGTCGGCACGTCGCAGGAAGAGCTGAACCGCAGTGTCTTGCGTCTCGCTCCTGAAAAGAAGGCATGGATGCCTCCTAAATCTGTCATGGATCACTTGTCGGCGACGACGAGTGATCGCTATCGAATACGATTGTTCGATTCGTCAAGGATCCATCACCTTGACCCCAGCGCGAAAAACTATCGCGCTGATAATGAATTCTTCATCGATGCTTTCTTTAGACATTGATGGTACAGTGGGAATCACAAGCGTGATGGTCCCTCACTGCTTCAGGCGTGGAACGCCCACATCCATAACCTTGAGGATGTAGGTCGTGACGCTTGGAACGACAAACTTGTCAAAGCTCGTGATAAGTTTGAAAAGAGAACCTTGACAGGTGCACGCTACAAGCTGCATCGTCTGTCAAGGGAGATTGGGTCACCCTGCCTCTCCTGGCCAGACCCGTGCCCATGTTGTGTGAACAACTCTGCACGAGCACCTAAGGAGGCTTACCTCCTTACTAGCACGTGGTGGCGCGTACGTATCTCTACTGAGATGTACGAAGCGGTTGACAACCTGAAATCCCTTTACGACCGTGCCGGGAAGACTTTCTCCGGCGTTCCTTCTGCGGCACAGGATGTGCCGCGTCGTACTGCTCAACCAGACCCAGTACGTCAGCCATCAGTTGGGAGCGGGGCTCCCAAGAATCCCAGGACGGGAGATAGCCGCGCCACCGGACGAGATAAATCGTCCGACGTTCGTTCACGTCGCGGTGGTTCAACAGCTGCTCAACTAGATAGCGCTGGCCACCGCGAGAGTCCTCTAATGGAGGTGGAAGAGGAGGAAAGACGCTCTCCACACGATCGTGGGGATCAATGTGTCTCCGAGAGCTTCTTTGATTGCGTGACGCAAGGGTTACGCAACGATCTCGAACATGAGCGGAACAGGCGTCTCCAAATGGCGGACACTGTCTCGAAGCATCGAGCTAAGTTTGCCTTTGCTCAGCTTGAGAACGAGAGAGCTCTGACATCTCTTCGTGACGAGCTAAGGGTAACTCGTGGGATTGTTGATCGGTCTCGGGATGAGATAGCTGCTCTTCAGACCCTTGTTGATAACCACCATCGGGAGCACAAGGCTCTCTGCGAGATGCTTGAGCGCAAGGGCGTTCTTCATCGGAAGAAGCAGCGTACGGATGGTACGGCTTAAGCCGACCGACGTAAAACGTGGGATGCGTTCGCCTCTTACGTGGCAGTTCGATCGTGTGTGCGTTGCCTAGGCGATGCAATACACGAAATGAGCCGATTTACTTGGGTAGTAGTTTACTTCTACCCAAGTTAGTCACTACATGCTTTGGTAGATTAACCGTAGACAGTAGGACTAAGTCACCTTTTTTAAATAAAAGAGTGTTTGCCCTTCCATTCTTGTCAGCGTTTTGCCTTTGCTTATCCACCGCTTCGGCGATGGAGTGTTGCACAAAACGGACTACCGTTTCACGATCCAGTATGAACTCATCTGATGACTCGTTAGCTTCAGTGCGCTTTGAGTGCACTGCAGCAACATCAACATTTTCTTCAGTGAGGGCTTCCGCACTCTCACTGGCATCATCTTCTTCGATATCGATGTTGTCGATATTGGCATCAAACGCAATGACCTCTTTTTCAGAGCGTGATGAGCGTGAACCGAATCGGTTTTTGCTCGCGCGAGTCCCTCCCCCCCTTAAACCAGAGTTACACTCTAGTAAGGTGGGTACACGCGGATGGCGTAAGCCATTCACGTAAAACGGTGTACGTGTCGTGGACGCATGCATGGAGTTGTTGATGGCAAACTCTACCATCGGCAAAAACTCACTCCAACTCTTAAAGGAGTGTGCGTATCCTCGAAGTATCTCTTCAAGGACACGGTTGGCACGTTCCGTCTGACCATCTGACTCTGGATGATCAGATGTCGACATCTTCAAGCGCGTTCCGAGTGATTTGAACACGGAAAGCCAGAAATCAGCAGTGAATCGTGGATCTCTGTCTGATACGAGTTCACGGGGCAACCCATGAAGTCGGAAGATGGTGTCAATAAAGACACAAGCACAGCCACTTGCCGTGATTGACTCTGGTACAGCCACAAGGTGTACCATTTTGCTGAACCTGTCAACAAATACGAGAATACCCGTATTCCCGCGTGCGTCGTTGGGTAACCCGAAGACGAAATCCATTGAGATGGATTCCCAGCACTCTGCCGGAACCGGTAGAGGCTGTAAAGGTGCACGCAGTGAAGGACTTGACTTCACTCGTTGACGGACTTCGCATGCGCGAACATACTCTCGCACAAACTGATACTGGCGGGGCCAGTAAAAGTCTCGACTCACCGTAAGATACGTTTTCTCACGGCGACGGTGTCCTCCTATAGGAGCATCGTGATACTCAAACATGATCCGCAAACGCAGATCAGTATCATCTGGAATGACAACACGTGGTGTGTCACCAGAAACGGCTGTATAGTACAGTAAACCGTTACGAGTAGTGTATCGATCTGATGCAGATCGATACGCAGACGACAATTGTTTCAACGATTCTCGAGATGGTTGGGAGAGATGTGACAACAACTTCACAATCTCACCATCTTGGGCGTATGCCCGCCTCACATCATCATACAACGTTGTAGATGGGACTGAGGACGTCATAACCGCAACATTGGCTGTATCACTGTTGGGTTTCGCGACTGTTTCAAAGTCGGGACGACGTGAGAGTTCATCAGCGACGACATTAAGTCGTCCTGGTTTGTACTCGACCGTAAAGTTGTATTCTGCAAAGAATGACAGCCACCGCGCCATTCGTTGTGAAAGGTGCGGGCTGTTCACTGCCGTGCGTAATGACGCATGGTCAGTGTAAACAATGAAGGGTCTATCTCCTAATAGATAGACTTTGAACTTCGCTAGTGCATACTTCACGGCAAGGAGTTCCTTGTCATGCACTGGATAGTTCCGCTAAGCTGGTTGCAGCTGACGCGACTGATAGCAGACGATGCGTTTAACGCCTTTAAGATCGTACTGCATTTATGCACAGCCGATTGCGAAACCGCTGGCATCACAGACCACATGAAATGGCCTGTCCTGATCGGCAATTGCTAGGACTGGGGATCTTATCAAGCTCTGCTTGATACCATCAAAGGAGCTCTGACATTTAGCGTTCCATAACCACCTCTCGTTCTTTTTTAACAAACGAGAGAGGTGCACAGTCATCTCGGCGTAATTGCGTGAATACTTATGCAAATACGCAGCTAGCCCAAGGAATTTTCGAAGACCTTTGACATCAACCGGCACAGGCCAGTCGGTGATCGCCTTGATCTTTTCGGGATCAGGACGTACACCGTTCTTACCAACGATGCACCCAAGAAGTGGTATTTCGCTTGCTGCAAATATACACTTCTTGAGATTTGCACTTCTTGAGATTTGCATACAATTGATGCTTTCGCATGATTGTAAGAACCTGTCGGACGTGGTACCTGTGAACCTCAACGTCCGACTTTCCATCCACAGCCCGACTATGGATGAATACGTCATCGAAATAACTCGGCGCGAATTCTCGTACTGGTCTCAACTGATGTGATACACATCTGTTGAACGTGGCAGGGGCATTACTAAGCCCTTGTGACATTACTAGCCATTCCCAGAGCATGCCGCTAGGCGTGCTCACTGCGGTGTATTTTATGTCCGGTCCTCGCATAAGGATTTGATAGAAGCCATCCATTAAATCCATGGACGAAAAGATGGTACTCTTTGACATACCATCAATGATTACGTCCTTCCTCGGTATCGGCGTCCGAGCCGGTGCCGTTGCAGCATTCAACTTGTTAAATGCATGCACTGTCCGCCACCCTCCTGTTGCTTTTCGCACACAGAAGGTCGGAGAGCTATGTGGGGAAGTTGATTCCCTTGCATGGCCCGCAGATAAACGATCGGCAAAGAACTTGTCGATCGCTTCACGAGGCAGTGGCCACTTGTAACGGGGCACCCTGAAGCTTGTACTGGTGACAGTACAAGCTACTTATTCTGATAACAAAATAAGGCGGTGCCTCGTAACTTCACGTACACTCGTACGTGCAGAGGAAGACGGTAAGAAGAAGCGAGTACTTGGTTAGAGTAAAAAGTAGAACTGTATTTATAATAGTTAATGTCTGCAATAAATCACTATTTATCTTCATCTAACTATGTCTAAATACAAATGTGTAAATCAGTTATCTGCTCACCACTCATTGCGTGCGTCTGTCGTGGCGCGTCTTCGTTGGTTGCTATAATGGCCTATATCAACCAATTAGGAACTACTCGTAAGTGCTGCAGAATATTTGTACTTATGACAATATTCTGAGAACATAACTCTTATAGTTATATTCTATTAACAATTTCTTATAAATTGTTATGTAACGATTCACCCCGTTACATCACCCCCCCTTAACCATCATTCACTTTAGTGACTGATTGACTAAATGGATACTCGTCCCAAATCATTTGGGACGGGGTTTGCACTTGTTGGTCCGCGTCCACTTTCCAACATCTCATCGCATGGTAAACAAGCCCATGCGATGCGCGAGCAAGGCCGCCGAGAGCGCGTCTGCACGTCTCTGTGCGGACGCCGAAGCAGAAACTACAGCAACTGATGTCCCATCGGTTGCTGAATCGACTCAGCCTGTATCACCTGGTGATGCAGGCGCTGGTCATGAAGACACTCGTGTCTTCACAGAGTACGAGCTCGGTGTCTCGTACTCTCCTGATACGGATGAAGGATCCGTATCGACGGCGATTGAATCCAAGCCGCCTGCCAAGCGTGGCATGGACGATGCTTTGCGTCGCAGCATCTTTGGTTCATCTGATGAGTCAGATGAACCATCACCAAAGCGAAGGCGCTCGAGGTCGCGAGACTCGGGCGCTCACAGTGGTGTCGGTTCTCCTATTGACACCACTTCGCAACGAGGTGCCAGTCCTTCTGTCGGCACGTCGCAGGAAGAGCTGAACCGCAGTGTCTTGCGTCTCGCTCCCGAGAAGAAGGCATAAATGCCTCCCAAATCCGTCATGGATCACTTGTCGGCGACGACTAGTGATCGTTATCGAACACGATTGTTCGATTCGTCAAGGATCCATCACCTTGACACCCCAGCGCGAAAAACTATCGCGCTGATAATGAATTCTTCATCGATGCTTTCTTCAGACATCGATGGTACAGTGGGAATCACAAACGTGATGGTCCCTCACTACTTCAGGCGTGGAACGCCTACATCCATAATCTCGAGGATGTAGGTCGTGACGCTTGGAACGACAAACTTGTCAAAGCTCGTGATAAGTTTGAAAAGCGAACCCCGACAGGTACACGCTATAAGCTGCATCGTCTGTCAAGGGAGAAAGGATTACCCTGCCTCTCTTGGGGAGACTCGTGCCCATGTTGTGTGAACAACTCTGCACGAGCACCTAAGGAGGCTTACCTCCTTACCAGCCCGTGGTGGCGCGTACGTGTCTCTACTGAGATGTACGAAGGGATTGACAACCTGAAATCCCTTTACGACCGTGCCGGGAAGACTTTCTCCGGCGGTCCTTCTGCGGCACAGGATGTGTCGCGTCGTACTGCTCGACCAGACCCAGTACGTCAACCATCAGTTGGGAGCGGGGCTCCCAAGAATCCCAGGACGGGGGATAGCCGCGCCACCGGACGAGATAACTCGTCCGACGTCCGTTCACATCGCGGTGGTTCAACAGCTGCTCAACTAGATAGCGCTGGCCACCGCGAGAGTCCTCTAATGGAGGTGGAGGAGGAGGAAAGACGCTCTCCACACGATCATGTGGATCGGTGTGTTCCCGAGAGCTTCTTTGATCGCGTAACGCAAGGGTTACGCGACGATCTCGAGCATGAGCGGAATAGGCGTCTCCAGATGGTGGACACTGCCTCGAAGCATCGAGCTGAGTTTGCCTTTGCTCAGCTTGAGAACGAGAGATCTCTGACATCTCTTCGTGACGAGCTAAGGGTAGCTCGTGGCATTGTTGATCGGTCTCGGGCTGAGATAACTGCTCTTCAGACCCTTGTTGATGCCCACCATCGGGAGCACAAGGCTCTCTGCGAGATGCTTGAGCGCAAGGGCGTTCTTCATCGGAAGAAGCAGCGTACTGATGGTACGGCTTAAGCCGACCAACGTAAAACGTGGGATGCGTTCGCCTCTTACGTGGCAGTTCGATCGTGTATGCGTTGCCTAGGCGATGCAATACACGAAATGGGCCAATGTACTTGGGTAGTAGTTTACTGCTACCCAAGTTAGTCACTACATGCTTTGGTAGATTAACCGTAGACAGTAGGACTAAGTCACCTTTATTAAATAAAAGAGTGTTTGCCCTTCCATTCTTGTCAGCGTTTTGCTTTTGCTTATCCACCGCTTCGGCGATGGAGTCTTGCACAAAACGGACTACCGTTTCACGAGCCAGTATGAACTCATCTGATGACTCGTTAACTTCAGTGCGCTTTGAGTGCACTGCAGCAACATCAACATTTTCTTCAGTGAGGGCTTCCGCACTCTCACTGGCATCATCTTCTTCGATATCGATGTTGTCGATATTGGCATCAAACGCAATGACCTCTTTTTCAGAGCGTGATGAGCGTGAACCAATTCGGTTTTTGCTCGCGCGAGTCCCTCCCCCCCTTAAACCGGAGTTACACTCGAGTAAGGTGGGTACACGCGGATGGCGCAAGCCATTCACGTAAAACGGTGTATGTGTCGTGGACGCATGCATGGAGTTGTTGATGGCAAACTCTACCATCGGCAAAAACTCACTCCAACTCTTAAAGGAGTGTGCGTATCCTCGAAGTATCTCTTCAAGGACACGGTTGGCACGTTCCGTCTGACCATCTGACTCTGGATGATCAGATGTTGACATCTTCAAGCGCGTTCCGAGTGATTTGAACACGGAACGCCAGAAATCAGCAGTGAATCGTGGATCTCTGTCTGATACGAGTTCACGGGGCAACCCATGAAGTCGGAAGATGGTGTCAATAAAGACACAAGCACAGCCACTTGCCGTGATTGTCTCTGGTACAGCCACAAGGTGTACCATTTTGCTGAATCTGTCAACAAATACGAGAATACCCGTATTCCCGCGTGCGTCTTTGGGTAACCCGAAGACGAAATCCATTGAGATGGATTCCCAGCACTCAGCCGGAACCGGTAGAGGCTGTAAAGGTGCACGCAGTGAAGGACTTGACTTCACTCGTTGGCAGACTTCGCATGCGCGAACATACTTTCGCACAAACTGATACTGGCGGGGCCAGTAAAAGTCTCGACTTACCGTGAGATATGTTTTCTCTCGGCCACGATGTCCTCCTATAGGAGCATCGTGATACTCGAACATGATCCGCAAACGCAGATCAATATCATCTGGAATGACAACACGTGGTGTGTCACCAGAAACGGCTGTATAGTACAGTAAACCGTTACGAGTAGTGTATCGATCTGCATCAGATCGATACGCAGACGACAATTGTTTCAACGATTCTCGAGATGGTTGGGAGAGATGTGACAACAACTTCACTATCTCACCATCTTGGGCGTATGCCCGCCTCACATCATCATACAACGTTGTAGATGGAACTGAGGACGTCATAACCGCAACAGTGACTGTAGCACTGTTGGGTTTCACGACTGTTTCAAAGTCGGGACGACGTGAGAGTGCATCAGCGACGACATTAAGTCGTCCTGGTTTGTACTCGACCGTAAAGTTGTATTCTGCAAAGAATGACAACCACCGCGCCATTCGTTGTGAAAGGTGCGGGCTGTTCACTGCCGTGCGTAAGGACGCATGGTCAGTGTAAACAACGAAGGGTCTATCTCCTAATAGATAGACTCTGAACTTCGCGAGTGCATACTTCATGGCAAGGAGTTCCTTTTCATGCACTGGATAGTTCCGCTCAGCTGGTTGCAGCTGACGCGACTGATAGCAGACGATGCGTTCAACGCCTTCAAGATCGTACTGCATTTATGCACAGCCGATTGCGAAACCGCTGGCATCACAGACCACATGAAATGGCCTGTCCTGATCGGCAATTGCTAGGACTGGGGATCTTATCAAGCTCTTCTTGATACCATCAAAGGAGCGTTGACATTAAGCGTTCCATAACCACCTCTCGTTCTTTTTCAACAAACGAGAGAGGTGCACAGTCATCTCGGCGTAATTGCGTGAATACTTATGCAAATACGCCGCTAGCCCAAGGAATTTTCGAAGACCTTTGACATCGACCGGCACGGGCCAGTCGGTGATCGCCTTGATCTTTTCGGGATCAGGACGTACACCGTTCTTACCAACGATGCACCCAAGAAGTGGTATTTCGCTTGCTGCAAATATACACTTCTTGAGGTTGGCATACAATTTATGTTTTCGCATGATTGTAAGAACCTGTCGGACGTGGTACTTGTGAACCTCAACGTCCGACTTTCCATCCAAGGCCGACTATGGATGAATACGTCATCGAAATAACTCGGCGCGAATTCTCGTACTGGTCTCAACAGATGTGATACACATCTGTTGAACGTGGCAGGGGCATTACTAAGCCCTTGTGGCATTACTAGCCATTCCCAGAGCATGCCGCTAGGCGTGCTAACTGCGGTATAGGGTATATCCGTTCCCGCATAAGGATTTGATAGAAGCCATCCATCAAATCCATGGACGAAAAGATGGTACTCTTTGACATGCCATCAATGATTACGTCCTTCCTGAGTACCGGCGTCTGAGCCGGTACCGTTGCAGCATTCAACTTGTTAAATGCACGCACAATCCGCCACCCTCCTGTTGCTTTTCGCACACAGAAGGTCGTAGAGATGTGTGGGGAAGTTGTTTCTCTCACATGGCCCGCAGATGAACGGTCGGCAAAGAACTTGTCGATCGCAAGTACTTGTTCACGAGGCAGTGGTCACTGCTTCATGACACAATACTTCGAGCCTGGTTTAAGCTCGACCTCGTGTCGAATACCTTTATCCTTCGGTAATTCGCACGGAACAGTTTCAGGGAATACATCCTTGAATTCAACCAAATCTTCATAGAGAGGATTTGTCTTGAGCGATTCCCATGATTGGGACTCATATCGCTCAATTCGTGTCTTTTCATCTAGGACACTCTCGTCCATAGATGAACTACTGAGAACTCTCTCGTTCTCAGTGAACACTGTTGCTGACCTTATGTCGGTTACACACTCGTCGTCAGCGACGAGTATGCAGATCTGCTTGACTTTGCCACTACGCAGATCACGCAAGAACCTTTTATATTCGAGCGTTGGCAACTGAGTGATCTCCGAAGTCAACTTCGGAGGCGCAATCAGATCAAGTGTATAAGCGCCTACACGTGATCCGTCATTGACTAGGACATTCAATGTCTCTGTCATTTACTGGGGACTTATTCCCGCAGGCCTCGAAGGACTTATTCCTTCGGCTTCCCGGGGACTTATTCCCACGGGTTTCGGGGAACTTATTTCCGCCGTATTTGTAATATTGGGACTTATTTCCTTTACTTCCTCTAGCTGGGGTTGCGCAACCACAGCGAGATCCTCTACGAAAGACTCTCCAGTCGATCTAGGATTATCGTTTCGCTTAACCTGAGCGATCGATTGTTTCTCTTCTAGATGTTCCCCACTAGGGATACATCTTTGTCCCGGTCCACTCGACTTATTCGAGTGGTGGACCTTCGGCGCAGCCTGTGTTTCCTCACAGCCGCCGGAACTTTGCTCCGAAGTGTAACCGTTTGGTACACTAAGGTTTTGTGCAGTCGTACTAACGACCGTACCACAAGTGAGGCCATCGCACTCACTCGTAGTACATCCACACGCTTGTGGACGCTCCAAAACGTTCATCAGATGGCCATCTGATGAACAAGCGGCAGGCATCGTTACTGTTCGATGTTGCCAGTTTACCCGTGGTTCGTACCTTCTGAGCCACGGTATTCCAAGGATGACATCAAATTTGTCATCCAAATCCAATACGATAAAGTCATCGTCATATTGGGTACCTCCTAGCGTATAGTGGATCTGCACTATACGTTTCATGACGGTTACGGATGCGCCTGTCGCAAGACGTACCTTTATCCTCGTAGGAGGTGTGTCACATTCAACAAACTCTAAGTGACCATCTTCTAGCGATTGGCGTCGCACAAAATTGTTGGACGCCCCACAATCGACTAGAGCTCGAAGGGACAACTTTTTTGTCACTTCGAGTTTCAACGTAATGAGTGAGATCTCATTACCTAGAGCAGCAACGCACAACGTTTGTGTGTTGGGAGCAACCTTCATCAAGAGGCCTGCAAATCCTATTGACGTTGCTGGACCAGTAGGGTGCTCCGCACCTACTGATCTTGTCCGTTTTTTGACGTTCCATCCCGTTGTTGCGTCTTTGCACCAACAGCGGACCCGCGTCCCTGCCCCTTTCTCATGTGTGGACGGTCACTACGCCCAGTGTTGCGAGACACTGGACGAGGGGCACTACACTCGTAAGCGTAGTGTCCTGTCTTCTGACATCTGTTGCATTTCTGCAACTTCTTGTAGTCTGTAGAGCGAGCCTTCTCGCTCTCTACATAACAGAGTTCCATCGGCTCTGGACCCCCGTTGTCATATCGTCTCGGTTGACGATATGATGTCGAGCTGGCGCGAGCTTGTCTCAAACTGAAGTCTTCCTGTTCCGCAATGGAAATGGCTTGTTCTAGTGAATCTAGTTCAAGTCGGAACAGGTGAGTCTTGACGGGACCATCCGCAAGACCCTGCATGAACACCGAAACCAACGTGTGTTCATCCACCGGGTTGGAACTTATACAACTCGTGAGATGTCGTATATGCTGTGCGTAAGCGTGCACATCACGCTTACCCTGCTTGAGCTTCAAGAGTTCAGTTCGAGCTTTGAAATCAGCTCTAGGCAGTTCAAATGTTTGTCTGAGCCGTGACTCAAAGACTTCTAACGACCCAAACGCACATGGGTCGTGCAACTTGAGCCCCAGTGCCCAAGTCTTGGCACGTCCTGTTAGATTTGATTGGGCAAATGCAGCTTGCATTTCTCCATCGTCGATGCGACGCGCCCTTATGGCGTCGTCCAATTCGACGAACCATCTCAAGAGAGAGTCCTCTTCGACTCCCCTGTACTTGGAGATGTCAATCTTCAAGGTTTCGGGTCGACGCGAGTGCATCGACCCACCAGCAGCAGCCTGCTGCTGTCTCAACAGTTCAAACGGTTGAGCACCCTATTCTCTCAACAACTCTGATTGTTGAGAACCTTGTTGGTGAAGCAAGGCTACTTTCTCGCGTTCAGCGTCAAGTTCATTTTGAATGAACTTGGCGATAGTAGCATGTTGGGCATCTCTATTGAGAGCCTCTAGCAGGACGCTAACAGCATGGATGACCATGGTTGAACCCATCCGTTCAACCGCATCCCATTCGATATCGCTCAAATGGGAGTAGCCGTCACGCGTAGCGTGAAAGCTTTGGTCACCTTCATCATCCAACATATTCATGGTAGATGTGAACGTGGTCCTTGGACGGACTACGAAGTGCTACCAGGTGTAACGGGGCACCTTGAAGCTTGTACTGATGACAGTACAAGCTACTTATTCTGATGACAGAATAAGGCGGTGCCTCGTAACTTCACGTACACTCGTACGTACAGAGGAAGACGGTCAGAAGAAGCGAGTACTTGCTTAAAGTAAAAAGTAGAACTGTATTTATCATAGTTAATGTCTGCAATAAACCACTGTTTATCTTCATCTAACTATGTCTAAATACAAATGTGCATATCAACTATCTGCTCACCACTCATTGCGTGCGTCTGTCGTGGCGCGTCTTCGTTGGTTGCTATAATGGCCTATATCAACCAATTAGGAACTACTCGTAAGTGCTGCAGAATATTTGTCCTTATGACAATATTCTGAGAATATAACTCTTATCGTTGTATTCTATCAAACAATTTCTTATAAATTGTTATGTAACGATTCACCCCGTTTCAATTAGCGCCCTGGTTGTCTTTCCAGATTGTCGTAGCTCTCTGCTGAAGCATCCCCATGCCTGTTATATGTGCACGCGTCCACAGTACTTTTTGGACGCAAAGGCTCAAAGCCATGTGCTTATACCCGCAGACCTGAGCGCTACCGTCCTCTGGAATTTTAACTTGAACACAAACCGGCGCGTGTCCAATCATCGCCATGACCCCAGAAACGTAACGCCTGTCGTCATTGTTCGTAAACCAATCTGCGTTGAGTACGCTTTTTAGCGTTACAATATCCGTTCCACCTCTATTGATAATTTCGTGCTGACGTGTTTATTTTAGGTAGCGTAGTATGTAACGGGGTGAATCGTTACATAACAATTTATAAGAAATTGTTAATAGAATATAACTATAAGAGTTATATTCTCAGAATATTGTCATAAGTACAAATATTCTGCAGCACTTACGAGTAGTTCCTAATTGGTTGATATAGGCCATTATAGCAACCAACGAAGACGCGCCACGACAGACGCACGCAATGAGTGGTGAGCAGATAGTTGATATGCACATTTGTATTTAGACATAGTTCGATGAGGATAAATAGTGATTTATTGCAGACATTAACTATACTAACTACAGTTCTACTTTTACTTTAACCAAGTACTCGCTTCTTCTGACCGTCTTCCTCTGCACGTACGAGTGTACGTGAAGTTACGAGGCACCGCCTTATTCTGTCATCAGAATAAGTAGCTTGTACTGTTACCAGTACAAGCTTCAGGGTGCCCCGTTACACCTGGTAGCACTTCGTAGTCCGTCCAAGGACCACGTTCACATCTACCATGAATATGTTGGATGATGAAGGTGACCAAAGCTTTCACGCTACGCGTGACGGCTACTCCCATTTGAGCGATGTCGAATGGGATGCGGTTGAACGGATGGGTTCAACCATGGTCATCCATGCTGTTAGCGTCCTGCTAGAGGCTCTCAATAGAGATGCCCAACATGCTACTATCGCCAAGTTCATTCAAAATGAACTTGACGCTGAACGCGAGAAAGTAGCCTTGCTTCACCAACAAGGTTCTCAACAATCAGAGTTGTTGAGAGAATAGGGTGCTCAACCGTTTGAACTGTTGAGACAGCAGCAGGCTGCTGCTGGTGGGTCGATGCACTCGCGTCGACCCGAGACCTTGAAGATTGACATCTCCAAGTACAGGGGAGTCGAAGAGGACTCTCTCTTGAGATGGTTCGTCGAATTGGACGACGCCATAAGGGCGCGTCGCATCGACGATGGAGAAATGCAAGTCTGCATTTGCCCAATCAAATCTAACAGGACGTGCCAAGACTTGGGCACTGGGGCTCAAGTTGCACGACCCATGTGCGTTTGGGTCGTTAGGAAGTCTTCTTAAGTCGCGGCTCAGACAAACGTTTGAACCGCCTAGAGCTGAGTTCAAAGCTCGAATTGAACTCTTGAAGCTCAAGCAGGGTAAGCGTGATGTGCACGCTTACGCACAACATATACGACATCTCACGAGTTGTATAAGTTCCCCCCGGGGGGTGCACACACGGGGGTTCGGGGGGCGTGCGGGGGGGGGCGGGGGGATGGTCCCATCCAGACTCACCTGTTCCGACTTGAACTAGATTCACTAGAACAAGCCATTTCCATTGCGGAACAGGAAGACTTCAGTTTGAGACAAGCTCGCGCCAGCTCGACATCATATCGTCAACCGAGACGATATGACAACGGGGGTCCAGAGCCGATGGAACTCTGTTATGTAGAGAGCGAGAAGGCTCGCTCTACAGACTACAAGAAGTTGCAGAAATGCAACAGATGTCAGAAGACAGGACACTACGCTTACGAGTGTAGTGCCCCTCGTCCAGTGTCTCGCAACACTGGGCGTAGTGACCGTCCACACATGAGAAAGGGGCAGGGACGCGGGTCCGCTGTTGGTGCAAAGACGCAACAACGGGATGGAACGTCAAAAAACGGACAAGATCAGTAGGTGCGGAGCACCCTACTGGTCCAGCAACGTCAATAGGATTTGCAGGCCTCTTGATGAAGGTTGCTCCCAACACACAAACGTTGTGCGTTGCTGCTCTAGGTAATGAGATCTCACTCATTACGTTGAAACTCGAAGTGACAAAAAAGTTGTCCCTTCGAGCTCTAGTCGATTGTGGGGCGTCCAACAATTTTGTGCGACGCCAATCGCTAGAAGATGGTCACTTAAAGTTTGTTGAATGTGACACACCTCCTACGAGGATGAAGGTACGTCTTGCGACAGGCGCATCCGTAACCTTCATGAAACGTATAGTGCAGATCCACTATACGCTAGGAGGTACCCAATATGATGATGACTTTATCGTATTGGATTTGGATGACAAATTTGATGTCATCCTTGGAATACCGTGGCTCAGAAGGTACGAACCACGGGTAAACTGGCAACATCGAACAGTAACGATGCCTGCCGCTTGTTCATCAGATGGCCATCTGATGAACGTTTTGGAGCGTCCACAAGCGTGTGGATGTACTACGAGTGAGTGCGATGGCCTCACTTGTGGTACGGTCGTTAGTACGACTGCACAAAACCTTAGTGTACCAAACGGTTACACTTCGGAGCAAAGTTCCGGCGGCTGTGAGGAAACACAGGCTGCGCCGAAGGTCCACCACTCGAATAAGTCGAGTGGACCGGGACAAAGATGTATCCCTAGTGGGGAACATCTAGAAGAGAAACAATCGATCGCTCAGGTTAAGCGAAACGATAATCCTAGATCGACTGGAGAGTCTTTCGTAGAGGATCTCGCTGTGGTTGCGCAACCCCAGCTAGAGGAAGTAAAGGAAATAAGTCCCAATATTACAAATACGGCGGAAATAAGTTCCCCGAAACCCGTGGGAATAAGTCCCCGGGAAGCCGAAGGAATAAGTCCTTCGAGGCCTGCGGGAATAAGTCCCCAGTAAATGACAGAGACATTGAATGTCCTAGTCAATGACGGATCACGTGTAGGCGCTTATACACTTGATCTGATTGCGTCTCCGAAGTTAGCTTCGGATACCACTCAGTTGCCAACGCTCGAACATAAAAGGTTCTTGCGTGATCTGCGTAGTGGCAAAGTCAAGCAGATCTGCATACTCGTCGCTGACGACGAGTGTGTAACCGACATAAGATCAGCAACAGTGTTTACTGAGAACGAGAGAGTTCTCAGTAGTTCATCTATGGACGAGAGTGTCCTAGATGAAAAGACACGAATTGAGCGATATGAGTCCCAATCGTGGGAATCGCTCAAGACAAATCCTCTCTATGAAGATTTGGTTGAATTCAAGGATGTATTCCCTGAAACTGTTCCGTGCGAATTACCGAAGGATAAAGGTATTCGACACGAGGTCGAGCTTAAACCAGGCCTTGAAGTACTGTGTCATGAAGCAGTGGCCACTGCCTCGTGAAGCGATCGACAAGTTCTTTGCCGATCGTTTATCTGCGGGCCATGCAAGGGAATCAACTTCCCCACATAGCTCTCCGACCTTCTGTGTGCGAAAAGCAACAGGAGGGTGGCGGATAGTGCATGCATTTAACAAGTTGAATGCTGTAACGGTACCGGCTCAGACGCCGATACCGAGGAAGGACGTAATCATTGATGGTATGTCGAAGAGTACCATCTTTTCGTCCATGGATTTAATGATGGGCTTCTATCAAATCCTTATGCGAGAACCGGACATAAAATACACCGCAGTGAGCACGCCTAGCGGCATGCTCTGGGAATGGCTAGTAATGCCACAAGGGCTTAGTAATGCCCCTGCCACGTTCAACAGATGTGTATCACATCAGTTGAGACCAGTACGAGAATTCGCGCCGAGTTATTTCGATGACGTATTCATCCATAGTCGGGCTGTGGATGGAAAGTCGGACGTTGAGGTTCACAGGTACCACGTCCGACAGGTTCTTACAATCATGCGAAAGCATCAATTGTATGCAAATCTCAAGAAGTGCAAATCTCAAGAAGTGTATATTTGCAGCAAGCGAAATACCACTTCTTGGGTGCATCGTTGGTAAGAACGGTGTACGTCCTGGTCCCGAAAAGATCAAGGCGATCACCGACTGGCCTGTGCCGGTTGATGTCAAAGGTCTTCGAAAATTCCTTGGGCTAGCGGCGTATGTGCGCAAGTATTCACGCAATTACGCCGAGGTGACTGTTCACCTCTCTCGTTTGTTGAAAAAG